ATCTCCTTTTCCCCTTTCTCCTTCTCCTTCTCTTCTTCTTCTCTCTCTTTCCTTCCCCCCCTTTTGGTGTAGAATGAGGGCTCTATTTATAGTTTTTCTGGAGTGGCACAGCCCGTAAATAGGCGTGAGATCAAGGGCGAATTGGGAGTGATCCGAATGGACGGCCGATATCGAATCCTTCGATCATACACCGTTCGTTGGACATTTGAAGGCCTTAATGATTTCGGAATTTGATGATCTTGGGCTCGTTGGATTCGTCTCGTCGAGCCGTTCGATTCGAGTATAAGCTCGTCAAAATCGGAGATCGTTTGGTAACTCAAATTGTGGTTTGAACCTCCCAACAGCGCTTCGAACCTTTGATTCGGACTCATTTGGGCTCGGATTGGGTTGATCTTGGTGTCGTTGGGTTTGTATTTCCGAGACGCTCAGTTTGACTGTAAGCTCGCTGAAATCGGAGTTCATATGCTCCCGAAATTAATTTTTGAAGTTTCCAACTAGGTTTTTGCCTCGAGATTCGTGCCCGATCAAGATGATTTTGCGATGCCGTATCAAACTTATAATTTTTTTGTTCAGGTCTTTTTTTTTTGTTTTTTGGCGTCGTCGATGTATGTAATCCATGGCAATAAAGTATCAGACATAAATGTATTTCTTATCAGAAATAGGCAAATAGCAGATTGATTTGCCCGAATTCTCATAAATGTTCATCATAAGCACGTCATGAGTCAGACATGAAAGCCCTTTCTTTAAATTAAAGGACCGATCAAATGGCCTTTGTGGGTGAGAAAGGCTTTTTGAACTTATGGTGGTAGTTGTTGCGTCTGGGATATTTTTTTGAACAGATTTAGGCTTAATCAAAAGTATTTCTTTTGGGGACCGTTAGCTTGGAGAAATTATTTAGTGCCATACATTTTTTTCTTATGACCCGATTCAGCTCAATCTTAAAAATTTAAAAATTGTGATAGCCCACTCATTTTTTTGCTTTTAAAAAAGAAACCTCCCAAAGCTTTCAAATATTTAAGGTGTTTGCGGAATAAAAATTTAGGCACCTGTTGCAAAAGAAAAATGATAAACAAATAGATATTGAAGATGGAGATTGTGTTTGGAGGACGTCACATTCTCTTAAGAACCATTGGAAAAGAAGAAAAAGATCAAGAGTAACATGAAACTTACCTAAGAATAGCTTATCAATGTATACTATGAGGCAATATACTTTTTGTTGAGCTTAGTTTATCAACAAAAAAAATCTATCATAGAGGCAAATACAACATAATTGCATTCACCTTCAAGATAGATTAAGTTCTCAAACATGCTTGAAATTTTCAATAAGGAATTTATGAACTAGACATCAATGGTTTATGTGATTTTGAGATATTTAACACATGTTAACTTAGAATATATTCTTAAAAAATTTATATGTCGAATGCCGTGTAATTATGTTGAATTTTTTTTTCCCTAAAACGCAGTGTATATTATTGTGTATTAGTGTGTTTTCAAGGTTATATGAATACACAATGCTTTATTTGTTCATTCGAAAGTTTTTTGAGCTTTTACAGAACTATGTATTAGAGAATTAATGTGTATACTGTTGTGTATTAGTGTATACTGTTGTGCATTAGTGTATACTGTTGTGTATTATTGTGTATTGCTGTGATTTAACCATGCTATTAATCTCTAAGTGTTTTTATTATTACTCTTAGTAATTTTCCTAGAGATTTGGGCACTATAAATGGCATTTAGATTTAATAGTAGACCTTTATATGTTGAAAAAGTTAAATTGACCTCAAATTGATTCATCATCACAAAAATTTTGGTGGCATGATCTGTAATAATATATATTGAAAAACTAAAGAAATTTTTTTTTTAATTCACATATATTGATCACAAAAAATGCTAAATAAAAATAATGATTTTCTTTCAAAGCTTAAAAATCAAATAGAAATAAACAGAGCTAAATGTGATATTTATAAAAAAATAAAATTTTTAGTGGGTGAATCATGAAGTCCTCAAGAAATCTTATGTGGGGTAGGTTAATTAATGCTACTTATTAACAAGTTTATATTAGTTGAGTCAACTACATTTACAACATGCATATTTGATAGGATTACAAGGTAACATAAATAAATTTGAGTTTATTAATAATGAAGATAACTACTAATTTGATAAACTAAATGCTTAAAAAGCATAAATATTACACAATTAATTGGGATCCAATCACCCTTCATTGATGGACAAATTTTTTTGAGTTGATCTTTGAAATTATTGAACAAAAAAATGCTCCAATGTCATGGGGGCTTTCATACAAAAATTGCTAGTGGTGATTTATGAATATTGCCATGGAGGAAGATCTCTCATATAAGGGTAATATAATGGCTGGTTTAAGAGATTGGTGATATCAGAGTTTCTAAGTGTTGAAAAAGGTAATAGAAGGGTTGGTATAAGAGATTTGTGATTTTCATTTTTTATTATTATATGTGACTAGTGAGAAAGTTATAGTGAAATTAGGGTTAAGTTTAATATTTGTTCAACATGATAATTAGTTTATGTTCTTTCACTGCTTAGTTTTTCATTGTTGGGAATTAAGATTTCATATTAAATTTCACACTCTTTCCTTGTTGCTTCCTTCTTGTCTACTCATCTAATAATCCTTGAGGAAAGTGTATTTACTTCTCTTCAAGAACCTCTAAAGTGTCTATTAATAGTTGCCATCTAGATTTTATTATTTTCGTCAACATCCTTCTTAGGGTCATTTGTGATTGAAAAATCCCATTACCCATTACCAAGGATGGATGGAACTATGACATATGATCGAGAACAAAAAATGATTTTGAATCTCCCCTTATAATATATATAGTAGAAACTCATTTTGTATCCACAAATATTTTAAAGCAAATTTAATGTTTTACATCAACAAATCATGATAAACTATCTCATTTAGGGCTTTGCTTAACAACAACAACCCACATTTGTTATTCTTTGAATTAAAATACTGAATAATACAAGATTTGTTAGTGTAAGAAGCTCACAATCTCCTCCTCCTTTATCTCATCAACATGTTTATAACCCTAGCCTTCATTATTGAGATCTTCAAATTAAGAGGTACTAAAATAAAATTTTAGAGCCCTGACCCTACGTTCAAGATGTACAAGCAAACCACAAATCAATACAATGTCCATATATATTTTATGTGATGAAATCAAATGTCGCATATTTATCAACACCTTTAAGAATACTAATTGAAGGTGGTTTATTTCTCTATCTCTTAGTAGCATTATCTTCTTTGAGCTACCTCTTTATTTCCCTTTTGCTTCTAAGATGCCTATAAATACCTCTCCAACATTTTTTAATAAAAAGAAAAGAGAAGAATAGTGCTTAAGGGACTATAAATATAGATTTAATAAGACTTCATATGAAATAATGAGTTGGTGATTACAATATCGGCAAGTTTTTTTTTTTGTACATAGTTAGAGGACCCGCTTCAAAGGCTTCCACATATATCAGTGCTAAAAAAATTATTTAGGAAGATGAACAACCTACCCCATCCTCATAGAGTGTTTTGATTGGTAAAGTAAATCCCAAGAGTGGCCTGTCTCATCCTCATTGTTTTTAGTGGCCCATCTCATCCTCATCGCTTTTAGAAGCATCAGAGGATGAACTTGACTCGTCAATGAGGGTCTACGACCATCCTCACCACACTACTTAGAGGTGACTTTCCTTACCTCCTCTAGTTAGATTCTTGGACATCTCAATTTGTCTATCAAAACAACTTATCATCATGATCACGATAAGAATTTGGAAGGACTATGCAAAATTTTTTGCTCTTGCTAAGGGGAATCCCAAGGCTAGGAAAAGATTGAATTATTTTTATATCATAATGACTAGGGGATGATACTAAAAAACAACATCTACTAAAGACCTCCCTCATGAAGAAGATTCAAGAAGGCCACATGAAAGAGTATCTTATCAATCGAAAAACCAAAAATAAATCAACCCATGAGCAAGCCATAATTGAACTCAATGTAGGGATTAAAATAATGAGGGTAATTAACTCTATTATTATTTAATTATGTTGGTGCTAAGTCAACTTGACATTGTAGGCTCTTAAGGCTAACTAAATACAATGTAAATTATTCTACCTCTTAATCTACTCTTAGACTAACCTTTTCTAATAACAACTTGCCACCCTACAAAAATATTTACATATCTTTGTCTCCTTAATAGACATTCATGACTACTAGGTCCTACTACCATTCATGACTATTAGTTTATGCTCCAGTGGATGTTTGGTATGTTTAATTTTAATATAGTTTAAGATTTGTTGGGCAAAGAGAAAGAGTTCTCAACCAAATTTTATTAAAAATTACATCTCATTTTAGCTTATTGGTTGGAAGTTTAAGCTCCCAACAAACAAATCTTTGATTCAAGACTTGCATTTGCGATATTTATGACATTTAAGTTGCTTAAAATCCCCAAAAAATAAAATTTATTTAAAAAAATGTATGATGATATTTATATTTAAAATTAATTTAACATTTAAATATTTTTTACTAGCTTCAAAACAATTCTTTTATATTACTTTTTTATCATTTAGAAATTTTTTTAGAGTGGCCTAAATTTTTATTTAACCAATATTTCTTTTCAGAATCTTGCTAATAATTTTTTAGATCCATTTATCAACTAAACTATGTGACAGCCCCTATTTACCTTGCATATTAAATTAAGATCAATGTAGTAAATTCTGAACCAAATGCCCTTCAAATTGACTATATTTATCCACTATACCCATCTCCCACTGGCTTCCTTTTAAGAGAGAAATTATTCTGTGCGGAAACTAGATGCGAAATGTCGTTTAGAGATCAATCAAAATGCACCATATCAACAGTACTGAGTCGCGGTATCGAACGAAAGGATGATGTGATGCATTCGAAATGATCTTCAAACGACGTTTCGCATCCACACAGAATAATTAATCCTTTTTTAGGACTCTATGTTCAGTATAACCCCCTTTTCTCTTATTTGTTGAGCTGAAACAATCACTAATGGTTTTGAAAAACTCAGAAAAAGAGAAGAGTGACGTCCCACCAAACTCCTCTTTTCCTTCGTCGCTAAGCTGCTTCCTTTCCCTTCCTTCTTCACATTTTCCTCAAACCTTTAATAATGCATCTACATATACCCCAAACTATCCGTTATAAATAAGCCGCAAACCCTCCTCACCCAGTTCCTCTCATGGTCTTCTTTTCTATGTTTACCTCTAGTTTCTTATTTCTTTTATCCTACCATGGAACTACACTCCTCTGTTAAAGCTAAGCAAGCATGGAATTTCTTGAGGTTGGCCTTCTTCATGATGAGAAAAGGGCTCCTTTCCAAGCGAAAATTCCTCAGCTTGGAGATGAATCTTATAATGAAGAGAGGGAAACTCCTTGGAAAGAACCTGGGAAGCCTCATTGCTAACCACCACCATTCCAAAAACAAGCACCTTTCCCCAGCTTCCCACATCAGTAATGGCTTCCATGAGTATGAATTTTCCTGCGAAAATAGCCCGAATCCGGTCTTCTTCCACATGAACACAAGTCGCATTCGTAGTTACTTCCCCTGTATCAGTGCCGCAGCCGGCGGCGAAGCTGAAGATCAGCTGCGCATTGAATGCTCACCACAATGCTCTTACAGTACTCCTGGAACTCTCGTTAATGGAGAGAGGAGGAGGAGACCGGTTCTTCTATCACCTTACTCTGTTAGAGTTTCTAACTTTTCGATGGAGGATGGAGGCTATGATGGGGAGAGCTATGAGGTGGATAAACAAGCAGAGGAGTTCATCAAAAGGTTTTACGAGCAGCTTAAGGCCCAAAGCCCTGCGTTGCTGCAGCTACAAGACGACGAGCGTTAGGCGCTAAGGATATCTGAATTAATAAAGATGTGGATGAATTTTGAAAAAGAAACAAAATTTATGTCTGAATAAAATATTTTGATGCATTTTTAGTTCGAATGGATTTTAAAGATTTTAAATTTATGTTAAATTAGTATAATTTAAGATATGCATCATATATTTAAAATTTTAAAAATTCATTATGATATAATTTTTCACGTATTTTAAAGTCAATTTAGTTAATTTTAAATTTTATGTATTATATTTATTTTAAAATAAATATAATAAATTTTAATTAGGATATCTGATGGACTAATTTTTCCCCCTGAAAATTGCACAGAGATAAGAAATTCATGAGAAATGCTTTGTATCCATTAATAATTGTAATGTATTTTTATTTTGTACTCAGAGTTCTTGATCTTAAGCTAAAGTTTCATAGAATAGTGATGTACTATATATTACTTCTCATGTATAATATTTATTTATATACACTTAGGGTTTTTAATGAAAAATGCAATTTTTTAAAAATAATATAATCAATAATATATATAAGATCTCAACTAAATTGATAAGTGAACTTCTTTTTTAAAAAATATTTTTAATTAAAAAATGTAATAAAAACCAAGGTGAAAACCGTTGCAAATATCGATCTATAGCACCGGTTTGACAACCACTGCTATTAAAGGTTGCAAAAACTTCATTTTTTTGGTAGTGATGGTAAAGGTGTATTATGAATATACACGATAAATATTTGAGTTAGATTTATTTGCAAAAATGCAAAATTTTAACAAAAAGTTAAGATATTTTCATAAGACTTCTGAGGTTATTGAATAGATAGTGCAATTTTAAGTTATATTTCTTTTATATAACACAAAAATATAGATTGGACTATATGCCTCATAATACATATAATTTGATAAATATCTTCATTTCGTTGTATTTTTTTCAAGAAAAATACAAATGAAAGTTATTTTTGGAGAACTTTCTTCACTTGTATTTGCAGATTCCTTATTGGAGTTCGTCGTAAACTAATCCTAACTACTTTGAATTTGAACATCTTTTCAAACCTAGTTTGAACCACTTTATGAACATGGTTCAAATATGATTGGAACATTGGTTTAAAACATGGTTCAAATAAAGGTTCAAACTTCGTTTTAAGCATTGGGTCGAACGTGCTTGGGATAGACATTGTGGGAGTTTGCATTGCGAGACATGTTGTGTGAGAAGAAAAAGAGTTTGTGTTTAGGCGGGGGCTAGTCAAGGAAGGCATTGTGGGATCGCCACGTGCAAACTTGATGGCACTAGAGAAGGCATTGCAGATTGTTTGCCTCTGAGGAGAAGATGAGTTCACGATGTGTCGTTAGGGAAGATATTGCGGGCGATGACGTTTGAACGAGAAAATTTGAAATTAATTTGAATAAAAGTTCGAAGTAGTCCCAAATTAAGATTCAAATTTATATTTATACGAGCAATTTTTTTTTCCTATAATACTTCAATAAACAATCCATGAATACAATTTGAGATAGTTTCATATGAACTAAATTTTTAGATTTTTTTTTTTAAAAAAAATCAATTTTAAGATTATTTGCCCAATCATGAGTCATATTAAATCAAATTTCTCTTTAAAAATATGGCCCCAATTTTTAATAAAAAGTATGCGTTTAAAAGTAAAGTTATGCGCAGCTGTTCAAGGCTTTTCTAAAAGAAATTTTTATGATGAGCTTCTCATAGCCTTTTTTATGCGGCGTTAAAAACCGCGGGATTCTTAACACATGTGAATTGTGCTTCAAATCGACTAATCTGAATAAACTGATCCTAAAGCTAAAGTTGAGTTGATTGAGGGTTTCTTTGAGACAACTTTTTAATTACTTTTTAATTTTTTTTTTCCTAAAAAGTTAGTTTAAAAAGCGATAAAAATCGTCCCAAAAGAGAGATTATTATGTGCAAAGTCCGGATACAGAGAGCTGTCCGATTTTGTGATTGTGAATAGTAATAGCGCAGTCATTGATCAACATTGCGCTTTTACTGTTCACACATACATTTTTTGATGTAATTTTGTTGTTCACAGTCGCAAAACCGAATGGTTCTCTATGTTCGAACTTCGCACGTAATAATCTCTACCTAAAAGAAGCCTGAATCAGCCAACAATTGTCTTTCTCAATAAGCAATCATGAAGTAATGTTTTATCTATCCAAAAACTTAATACCAAATGATACAATAATAACAAGAATAATGTTTCATTTGGGACAATTTTATTACTACTTTAAATAATTTTTTAGTACAAAAATTTAAATTTTCTTACAAGAAAGATGTTTTAAGAAGTAGTACTAAAGCCATCCCAAACGAAGCCCAAGTCGTCATCCCACTACAAGGGGTCAGCTATTCGAATCAATTTTCTTCATTGTATCCTATAAAGAGTCAAATTCTTATTTAAATCTAAAAAAAGTTTTCACTCCAAAATGCAGTGAAACTCAAAGAGGTTGTGATTAATTTCCAATCGAACTCTATTTTGCTCACTTCTGCGAAGGTAACTGTCTTTCTCCTCTTTCACGCATTTCTTCGACAAATCGGTTGAGACAGAAAAATGGCGTAGGTGAACAGTGCAACGTCAATATTGACGTCGTACTGTTCACCCACAAGCAAATAGCGGAAGATTTGACGTTCGACTAGAGTGACCGAACGACGACATACACATATTTGACGTTCAGTTGGAGATGCTCTTAGGCTTTCTAAAAATATATAGGCATTATTTCTAGCATTCAGGTGGAGGAAATTAAGCCAAGCTTTCAAGGCAATGCAAAAGGGCAATTGAGATCGGGCTTGTTTGACGAGGAAAACTAGCCTAGCCTAAAAGTGTAAATGAGTCAATCAAGCACAATTAATTAAGGTTGATTAATTAATCATGTTCGAGATCGAGCTCAAGCTCAAGCTTAACATCATTAAAAAAAAGAAATAAGAAATAACAAGAAATCAATATTTTTAACAACTTTACACTAAATTTATTGAATTCTATATATTTTAAATGTATTTTGTATTATCATTTTTAAATGAGCCGATTCTTGAGTAGATGAATCAAATCAAGACTAGTTCAAATTTGACTTGTATTAAAACCCTTCCTACGGTATTTTCAATTTTTTTTAATGCTGATCAAACTATCCTAAAAAGTTATATGCAAGCAAGCATAAAGTGCTTATCCACTTGAAAAACAATGGCTTCTATATTGTCTTATATATTGATACATCATAAAAAAAAAAATCATCTTGATCGGGCACGAATCTCAAGGCAAAATCAAGTTGAAATTTTCCGAAATTAAAATTGGGACCATCCGAACTCCGATTTTAGCAAACTTATAGTCAAACTGAGCGTCTCGAATTTACGAATACAACAACACCAAAATCAACGCAATCCGAGCCCAAATGAGTTCAAATAAAGGACTCAAAGCACTATTGGAAGGTTCAAACCACAATTGGGATTACCAAACGTGACATGCTTATTGTCGAATCAAGCGACTCAACGAGACAAATCCAACGAGCCAAAGATCACTGAATTTTGAAATTACCAAAACATTCAAATGCCTAGTAAACGGTCTAGGATCAAGGGAATGAACATCAGTCATCCATCCAAACCACTTCAACTTACCCCAGATCTTTTATCTATTTATAAACCATGTCACTCTAGAAAATCTATAAATAGAGTCTCTCTTTCTCATGAAAGGAGACCCCCTCCCCCAAGCAAGAAATCAAGAGAGAGATCGGAGATCGATCTTGCCTCCTCGCTCCTCCTCGACCACCACACGGTTCCACCGGACCACCATATGACGCCGAACTTTTGCCAGACCACCACCTGAAGCCAGAGTTCTGCCGGACCACCGCCCGATGCTTGAGGTTTATCAGACCACAACATGACCCAGGAGTTCCGTCGGACCATCGCCTGATGCCGGAATTCGATCATGACCGCTGCCAGACGCCGAACTTCCGTCGAACCATCGCCTGACGTCGGAGTTCCACCGGATCATTGCCTGATGCAAGAGTTACTCTAAACCACAGCCGAAACACCAATTGAGGCCCAAAGTTTCACCGCGACAAAAGTCGAAGTTCCTCCATACCACCGAATAATGCACAGACTTCCACCGAACTACTTCCTGACGCCAAACTTCCGTCAGGACCATCGCATGATGCCAGACTTCCGCCAAACCACCGCCTGATGCCGAACTTCTGTTAGGACCATAGCTTGATGCCAGACTTCTGTCAGACCATCTCTAGATGCTGGAGTTCCATTCGACCGCTGCCTAACACCAGAGTCCCGCCAAACCACCGTCAGACCACTGACTGAGACCCGAACTTTCACCGGACCAGCGACAAAAGTCGAAGTTCCACCAGACCACCGAATAATGGCTGGACTTCCTCATGACCACCGCCTTACGACTACGATCTTTCTGATCCCCGTCTCCTGCCGACTTTGCTCTTTCCTTCCTTTGTCGCCTACAACGGTCCTTCCGACCTCCCTCACCAGACAACGACCTTTCTAACCACTGTCTCCCGCCGACTACAGTCCTTCCGACCTCCCTCGCCAAACAACGGTCCTTCCGACCACCGTCTCACGACTACGATCATTCCAACCTCCGTCTACCGCGGACTATGATTTTGCTGACTAAATGAATATTTCAATACTAATTCTTCTAATTCCCGCCATGTAATATAATGTTCATTTGCTACATCAACCCAAGACCTTCCCCTCAAGGAAGGCCTAATTTATAATCGACTGCAAATAATAGTGGATTCATTCAAACTGGGCTAGGCTCCATGGCCCCTCCCCCTCCCCCCCCCTTTCAAGAGTTTCTACGTAAAAACTCTTATGTTCTCTTATGAATGCTACTCTCTCTCTTTTATCTGCTTTTGTGCTAGATCTCCGTGTACAAAACTAAGACATTAAATTTATATTTTTCTACCGCCGCGAATATTTCAGGACGCAACATATATATATTTATAAGAGGTAGTATAATACGGTTTGAATGTTATCTATTATATGAATTTATCTACTAAAAATAGGAGAAAGCTATCATATTTGTCTTTATCACTCAACACTTAAATCATGAATCTGCCACAGTTAGAAATGTGAAAGTAAATGAAAACTGTAATTGAAAAGATGGAATTCATGACCATGTAAGGACACCCCAAAATCATTTGAAATTCATTGCATTTCCTTTACTTTCCTTCAACCAGACAACGCCGTCAGGACAGCAGAGATGAATTTCTGAAGTTGAGTTTTGTATTTTTAAGGACTGTTTGGGTATGGGATTTATGTTGAATTTGAGCAAGATTTACGCTAAATCATGCAAAATAGGATTTATAATGTCATTCGAAGCCACAACAAAATAAATATGTTGTTTCCTTTCGGCGTTTTAACATTTCACCGCACAAAAAAGGGTACATAGGAGTCGCTAAATAGTTCATATTATAGATAATCACCTTAAATCCTGAATTCCATTGTCAAACAGTTTCACAAGATTTAATAGAATTTAGCACTTGCATTACCAAACAGTTTTCAAAATTTAACTTCAACAGGATTTACTAAAGCCTATTCAAGTTAAATCCTATTTGTTACCAAACAGCCCCTTAGAATTTTCAGAGGATTTATGAAGATTTTGAAGTAGAAACCTGAAAACAATCCAGTTATCTACCACATCCCTACCAACAATTTCAACATACATAGAAAAAATTTCACATTTTAAACTTAGCTAATGCCAGCTTCCATCTAAAAACTTCTCTAGCTGATGCTCAAAGCCATAAAGATCATATTATGTGCTTTTTATACAGTCTGAGGCATTAAATAGGAGTTTAGCAAGCAAACTTTTTGTGTTCAGGCTGATTACTACATCTGAAAGTAAACTTCACCTTCATTTCTTCTTAGAAAAGTTACAGTTTTGAGCTTTGGAACCACCGAGCTCTGCCACACTCTTAGAAGCCCTGTCAAGCACGCCTGAGAGCCATAGCGCACCATTTGAGAAACAGTTACTGCTCATGATTGCAGATCCAATACCGCCTGCGGTTTGCTCGACGGAGAGGATAGCAGAATTAGCTTGATTTGCAACTGTTTTGCCAGTGTATCTTGCTGTTTCCTTCGCTTTGTTCAGTGTCTCTTGCCCTCTTAGGGTCACCGTTTGTAATACGGATTGGCAAGTCGGAATCAAGCCTCCACCGGATCTCTGTTTGATGAAAGTGTTAGCATATGAAGTGTATTGCGAAAATAATATTAGGTAAGCTTTATATTAGAGGAGTATCTGATTTAGGGAAATAAATATTTATTGTGACTACTCTCTCTTTTATTTGTTAAAAAATTCAACGTTGCTCCACCTATAGCCCTAAGAAAATCTTGATGTCTTGGCATTACGAAAGAGATAAGAGAAAGGTAGAGAACAAAAGGTTAACAATCGAATAGGAGCGGAACCTCCTTGAGCTCGGGGGGCAATTGTCCCTGCCCCCCTAAAGAATTTTTAGGCAATTTCCATTCTAAAAAATTTAAAATATCATAGTCTTTAGGCAATTGCCTTTAGCAAATAATAAAGAGAATTCATCATTTATTTATTAATTTAAAATTCAAAAATATCTTTATAATCAAAATTTATTCTGGGTGCGTTGCCTTCTTGAACCCCTGCATATCAATTTTCCTTATTATTTAGAGGCCTTAATTACTTTTAGTAGCTAAAAAGATATCTCTAGCGACCATTTTCTTTTTGTCTCCATTTTTTTGTTGCTATTGATCTATTTTCTTATGGTGAAGGGTTGAGCAAAATTTGAGGCAAGAAAAAAAAGAGGGGTTTTTAGGACATGCCTCATGATCCTTTGAAGAGCCAAATATAACTGGAATACTTTTAAGTTTAGGCGGATTGATTATTTTGACATGCCGATCTCCAATGAGAGCATCCTGCATTTTGAAAGAATTCAAACTCGTTAGAAGCTGGGACCAAGGAACAAATTATGCATTGAAAAGGGAAAATTCTGAGGTTGAAAGGCTCATAAAACCATGCAAATGAGTTGAACTGAGCTCAAAATTAATTGAGCAAGTTACTCTTCTTGTTATGAAAAATGAAGATGAAATAGAGTTTGAAGAGTCGCAATAAGCTATTAAAATATGAGAAATTAACAGAGAGTAAATGTGAAATGTAGGCATCATTTGGGACGGTTTTCTTATTGTTTTTTCAAGCATTTTTTTAATATAAAATTAAAATTTTTTATTAGAAAATTACATTAAGAAACATTCAAACGAAACCTTAGTCTTCATTTGGGCCAACTTTTTTGCTGCTTTGTAAAGCAATTTTTTAATACAAAAATTTCTTAGAATTAAAATTTTTTATACGTTTGAAAAAGCAAAAAAAAAAAAAGTTGTGCCTTACAAGATTGAAACTTGATTTTTGGATGTTTTGATAACTTTTTAATTCAAGTTTTGAATTTCAATATTTTCATCCAATTATATACTAAAACTTATAAATGAGTTAGCTCATGAGCCAACAAGTTACGTCTATTGACCCAAATTACCAAGCTCAATACAAACCCAATTACAGAGCCAAAGCCAAGCGACTTAATATAGAAATGTGTGTGGATGTGCTTGAAGATGATTTTTTTTCTAAAACAAACCGGTTCAAGATTGATCTGGTGATAGCCGTAAGCCAATTTCAAGCTAACGGTATGATCTACTGGAAGAGAAATTGGCTATTTTTATCAAGTTCATGAAACCAGTAGTGTTGGAAACAAACGCAACTGATATATCTAAAACTCCTTTGGGAAAGAATTTTCCAGAGTTCTGAGAAATTCACATGAACTGTTGAAACTGAGAACATTTAGGCTTCTTTAGGAACCGCTTTTTTATTGTTTCTTAAAGCAGTTTTTTAGTATAAAATTTAAAATTTTGTAATAAAAAACTGCTTTAAAAAGCAGTAAAAAAGCTGTCTCAAACAAAACCTTAATAAGCAGTATACAACTCTTATCAAGTCCATGAAAGAAAACTTTTTTAGACAAAAAAATTTAACTAAACAAACACCATGGGCAGCAAATCCTTCGTGAAATTATTTCTTTAGTATGTTTGATTCTTACATTTAAAAGAAGAGAGGTTCTAACTGCATAAGGTTGTCTGAAAGTCACAAATGCTGATTGGGAACTATCATTATCTCTGCAAATGACCAACAAAATATGCAATTGATATTAATCGAAGGAAAGGATTAGAATAAAAATCAAGGAAAATAAAAAATGATCAAAGATAAAATTAGGAAAAATGAAGGAAGGTTTACTTCTTGAGCTGAATTTTATCAATTGTACCACAATATGAAAAGAACACAGTAAGATCCTCCCTCGTTGTTGCTGGAGAAATGTTAAGAACCTGGACAGTAAGATCATGATCATCCATGAAGCCTATTTCTCTTGACTAAAGTTCGCCAGACTTAAGAGACCTTCAACAAGAATCCAAATAGATAAAAGGAATAAAGGTAATAACCCCAACAAGCATGAAAGAATAAAGCAGCATTAAGTTAAAGTTATTCTTTTGGTTATGGTTGCTTACAAATTCAGCATCGCAAAATTAATATGATAATGGAAATTTGAATTTTGGCCACATCATACTAAATTGCATGCAACTTAAACGAGTATAACTAAAAATATCTCAGTTTCCAATAGTAAAGCAGGTCCCTATTTTTGTCACTCTGGTATTGATCCTGTATCTGAAAAAGAAGGTTCAGCCATATAAATCTTCCTCTTTTTTTCCTAACAAGATTTTTTTTTTTTTGGGGAGGGGTGGGGTGGAATTTGTGGGCTTTAGCCCAATTCATTGCTGTAAAAAGTAATTAAATTGTTGGACTCAAAAAGCAACAAAAATCCCACGTAAATCATTTTCCACATAAGGCTGGTTGCCTGCGCAATTGAAGGTCATCTAATGGTGCCAGCTAGGGGTGTCAATTCGGGTCAACGGGTCAGGTTCGGGTCGAACCCGGAACTGACCCGGCACTATTCGGGTCAACCCTAACCCTAACCCGACCCGTTTTTAAAAACGGGTCAGGTTTCCGGACTCGAATCCGACCCGACACGAATAACCCGAAGTTGACCTAAAATTGCTAGTTTTCGGGTCAAAAATCGGGCCACTCTTCGATTTTCGGGTCAAAACTGGGTCAATCTCGGGTTTCTGAGTCAAATAGGAGTTTTCGTGTCAATTTCGGATCATTTTCGGGTTGCTGGGTCAACCTGAACCCGACCCGATTTTTAAAACGGGTTGATTTGTTGAACCCGAATCCGACCCATTTCGGGTCCGGGTTGACCCTAACCCGGATTTTTCCTGGTCGGGTTCGGGTCGTGTCTAAAATTGACACCCCTAATGCCAGCCCAAGGTGGCAGGAAGAGAGATTGTTGGAGAGGAGGAACAGGCCCCATCAAACGGATGAGGCACTTGCCGCAATCAGTTTGCTAGAAAGAAACTTGAACTGTTTAATAGGTAACGGCTTAGTAAAGAGATCAGCAATTTGATCCTGGGTAGCCAGATGATGAACAACAATTTGTTTAGTTTGAATACAATCCCGAATAAAATGGCAATCAACTTCAATATGTTTCGTCCTGGCGTGAAACACGGGATTGTTGGCAAGCGCAATGGCCGACATATTATCACAATACAACGGTGTTGGAGCCGTTGGAGGAAAATGAAAATCTGAAAGTAAGCGTCGAAGCCATATAATTTCAGAGGCAGCCGTGGCTAAAGACCGATATTCGGCCTTAGTAGAAGACCGAGCAACCGTAGACTGTTTCTTTGCTTGCCAAGAGATAAGAGAATTTCCAATAAAGTTACAATAACCTGAAACTGATTTGCGATCATTGGAGTCCCCAGCCCAATCCGAATCAGCATAACAATGAAGTTCCATTGAACCTCGAGAGAATGGAAGCCCATAATTGATAGTGCCATTAATGAATCGAAGCAGCCCTTTAAGTTGCTCAAAATGAATTTGAAGGGGATTATGCATATGCTGACAAACCTGTTGAACAGCGAAAGCAATATCGGGACGAGTCAATGTCAAATATTGTAGTGATCCAGCCAGCTGACGATAAAGAATCGGATTGGAGAACTGCTGCAGATTAACAGAGGAAACAGCTGATTTCAAACAGCTCGGAGTGGAGACATTCTTACTGTTTCCATCCAAGTTTTTGAATAATTGAACGAGCATACTGTGTTTGATCAAGATGAACACCGGACGGAGATGCAGTAACTTGAATGCCTAAAAACTGGGATAGAGAACCCAAATGACGCATAGAGAAGCTGGATTTTAAGACTGCAAGCAGACGATCTATAGTAACTGGATCATTACCGATTAAAAAAATATCGTCAACATAGATTAAAATATAAAGAATGATGGAGCCAGAATTATACACCATTAACGAGGGATCGACTACACTGAATTTAAAACCAAACAGTTGAAGGTGTTTAGACAGTGTGGCATACCATTGTCGAGGGGACTGTTTTAAGCCATAAATAGACTTCTTAAGGCTGCAGACATAATCTGGATGGACAGAATCAGTAAACCCCGGGGGTTGCTGCATATATACTCGTTCAGTAAGCTGGTCGTGAAGAAATGCATTGGATATATCCAGCTGAGCAATGGGCCAAGAATGATGAAGAACAACAAGTATAAACACCCGAACAGTGGGCATCTTTGCCACGGGACTAAATGTTTCTTGATAGTCCAAACCGGGAGCTTGATTGAATCCTTGAGCAACCAAACGGGCTTTGTATCTAGCAACGGTTCCATCAGAATTGCGTTTGGTACGGTAGACCCATTTGCAACCTAGCACATTGTAAGCTGCAGAAGATGGTACGAGATCCCAAGTACCTTGTAATTGAAGTGCTTGAAATTCGGTGGACATAGCTTTCCGCCAGTTTTCGAACTTAGAAGCCTGCAAAAAGGTAGTGGGATCATCTGGATAGAGAACGTGAGCCAAATTAAAGATTTGTTTCGGCTTTATAATTCCATGCTTAAGCCGGGTACGCATTGGATGCATAGAGGAAGGAGATGGAGGCTTAAGCTGAGATGAAGAAGTTGATGTGGTGGCTACAGGTGAGGAGTTATTGGAAACAGAAGTTGAAGAAGCTGGTAATGTTTGGGATAATGGCAGTGATGAATTTAGAGATGGAATGACAGAATTATGATTGGAAGTAGAAGATGTTGGAACAAGTAACAAATGGGGAATATTAGGTGGAGAATCAGAGGAAACTGTGGATGAAGTATTGGAAGAAAAAGGATATACATATTCATTGAAAATGATGTGACGAGATATGTATAATTTATTTGTAGCAATATCAAGACAGCGATAGCCTTTTTGTAGAGAAGCGTAGCCAAGAAATACATAAGAATGAGAGAACGGAGAAAGTTTGTTGGAACTATATGGTCGAAGCCAAGGATAACATAAACAGCCAAACACCTTGAGATGATTATAGGATGGAGAGATATGATAAAGCAGCTCATAAGGAGAGACATTGGAAGTATTAGGAGAGGGTAATCGGTTTATTAGATGAACTGCTGTAAGAAGTGCTTCAACCCATAAATATTGAGGTAAGTGGGCAGCAAACAAGAGAGAGCGTAGAGTTTCAGAGAGATGACGATGTTTACGCTCAGCAACACCGTTTTGAGATGGAGTGTAGGGACAGGAAAATTGATGAAGTATGCCATAATGTTTCAAATATGTTTGAAATTGAGTACTCAAATACTCACCACCACCATCCGTGCGAAGAATTTTTATAGAAGAGTGAAATTGACATTCAATCATACATTTAAATTCACAAAATTTGAGAAACGCGTCTGATTTCTTAACAAGGGGGTAAACCCAGACAAACCGCGAATAATCATCAATAAATGATATGTAATAACGATAACCAGACACAGAAGGAATAGGAGATAGACCCAAATATCCGAATGTATTAAAGCAAAGGATTCGTTACAGCGATTTAAAGACTGAACAAATGGAAGACGATGGCTCTTGGCCAGCTGACAGACATGACAAACTTTAACTGTTACATTCGGACGAATATAAGAACATTGCTTTGCAAGAAAAGATAAAATGCGAGCAGAAGGGTGTCCCAAGCGACGATGCCAGAGGTCGGGAACAACTTGCACGAAGAAAAGAGCTAATGAAGACGCCGGTGATGGTGCGACCGAAGCAGAGGAAACCTGATAGAGCCCGTTAATACAGGGACCCTGAAGAAGAAGCTGATGTGTCCTCCGGTCCTTAATGGAATAACCATGAGAAGAGAAAGAAATGTCACATTGATTGTCAGCAGCTAAACGATGAACAGAAAGAAGATTAAAAGAAAGATTCGGAACAAGATGGAGTTGAGATAATTGCAAACTACCTGCCGGAGTAGGTAGAATACCATTACCAGTGTTTTGGATAGGAATTTGTTGTCCATTACCAAGGACAACTTGATTCGTTCCAGTATAAGACTGAGACGACTGAAGAAGATTGGGATCGGAGGTAAGGTGAGAGGACGCGCCACTATCCAGGTACCACTCAGTTGCAGGCGGTTGATTTGCTGAAGAAAACAGAGCAGATGTTGGCGGATCAGTTGAATACTGAGGATCATGGTGATACCAGCAGCGAACTGCGGTATGTCCTGGCTTGCCACAAATTTGACAAGCAACACTTGGCCTGGCTGATCGTCCACGAGAGACGGTTGAAGGTGGCTTGGACGTCGACGCAAATCTTCCACGAGAGGCATTAAAGCGACCTCTCCCACGACCACGAGATGCAACAAGAGCAGTGGTAGAATTGGTAAGTTGCATCGAACTCATTTCTCTAGCTACTTCATGTGTTAAATTTAACTCTTCACTACACAACAAGGTGTAAAGATCATGCAGTGAAAGCGCTTGAAGGTTCGTTCGAATGGATGTTTTAAAGGCATGGTAGTTCGCTGGCAATCCATTTAGCGTATGGTGAATAATTTCCTCTGAATCCAATGACGAACCAGCAGCTGCCAATGAATCAACCTTGGATTTAATTTCCAGCAAATACTGCGTCATAGATTTATCTTTCATAGTAAGATGCTATAGTTCATTTTTCAGTTGCATAATACGCGATCGTGTTGACGACTGAAGGCGTTTGGCAATCGTAGTCCAAATATCTGAACAATGTTCAAGAGCTAATACATAAGGTAGTATAGCCGGTGAGATCACTGAATACAGAGCCGCAGCCAAGTTTTGATCAATGAGAATCCAGGTAGTATACTGTGGATTTAAAGTCTGAGAACCACTTGAATCAGAAAGAAATTGAACTGGACAGTGAGCCGTGCCATCCAGAAAACCTTCACAACCGTTTGCACGAAACAGTTTTGCAACCTGTGATTTCCAGGTTGGATAATTTTCCACCGTTAATGGATTTGCAATAACATTCTTCACATTTGACATAAAAAGTTTGAGCTGCGATGGAACTGTAGCTTCCAGCATTCCAACAGAGGTGGCTGCTTTGGCTGGTTGAACTGTTGAAGATGCCGAGGAGGAGCTCATAGTGAACAGCAGGATACTACTGCTCTGATACCATGATAGAAAGTCTAATCTGCTAAGAATACAGAAACGTAAAGAAGAACAGTAGAAAGTAAATGCAGAAGAATTGAGCTGAAATGTATTTCATTAGCTA